AGAGGGGGAAAGAGAGACACTACAGGTAGAGGGGGAGAGAGACACTACAGGTAAAGAAAGGGGGAGAGAGATTACAGGTAGAGGGGGAGAGAGACACTACAGGTAGAGAGAGGGGGAGAGAGACACTACAGGTAGAGAGAGGGGGAGAGAGAGACACTACAGGTAGAGAGAGGGGGAGAGAGAGACACTACAGGTAGAGAGAGGGGGAGAGAGAGACACTACAGGTAGAGAGGGGGAGAGAGAGACTACAGGTAAAGAAAGGGGGAGAAAGACTAGGAGAGACGAGGAGAGACAGACTGGAGCTGGGGGGGGGACTACAGGTAGAAAGAGAGAGGGAGAGAGAATAGAGGTCGAAAAGAAACTTCAGATACACAGAAAGAGGAAGAAGAGAGAGAGAGAGAGAGAGAGAGGGAGAGAGAGAGAGGGAGAGAGAGAGAGCCGCACTCCAGGATCAGGCTGGAAGCCAGAAAACCCCAGACACACTTGCGGGGGAGGCTGATGTAATGGGTCCAGTGTCGGCCCACTGTCCTGTGTGGTGAAGGACCACGGGGGGTAGGTGACCACAGTGATCCCAGCAGACCCACCTTGGAGGGGGGGGCACTCATGGCACTGCTGGGGCCCGACCAAACCCCGATAAAGGGGGCAGATGCAGCAGGAGGCTGTGTTTCTGCATTAGGACCTCCCCACTCCTCAAGGACTTCTGTACGTGGGGGCTCCACACCGACGGTCAGAGACGCTCTGCGCATTTCACTGGCTTTCCTGCCCTAACCGCAGTGCGAGTCCTCGCGTTACACCTCACTCTCGTTATAAACCTCTGCTTTATGAGCCTTGCTGAGCTCTCAGGCTCTGCAATGCTGCTCTTTCTCACCACAGAAACCAAGAGAACACTTTATCCAACGCGACACGCAGCACAATGGCAGGATTACAATTTGTGTGCAGCCCCTGGGATTCGAACCCACATCCTCTGCGCTGTTAACTTGGTACTTTACTTGGTGAACTACAGAAGGCGCCGATTCTGAGGAACTAGCTCTGCTACTCATTCGAGAAGCGTATAATCTGCCAAAACTAAGGTTTGACAAGCGGGTCCAGAAATTAGAGCCCAGTATTGGTAGTAGACGGGTATAAAAACCCATCAGATCCGGAATTTACGCCAGAGACAGCAGTGATGCCACAGCGCTCCATCAAGATGGCCGTTATGCCTTTCTGGCTCAGAGGAGCCACAGTGACACAGACAGCGAAGGGCCACCTAAGGGGGGGGGGTGACCCAGTTAGGTAGAGGCAGCAAAAATGAGAGCTTTGTAGGGACTCTGTTAGCAACGGGGGTACAGAGAGAGTAGAGGTGCAATGATCCAATGTTCGGGATCGGTATCGGCGCCGATCCATACCTATTAGACGGATCGGGTATCGGTCACATGTAACCAATCCTTAGCCGATACTTATTTAGTTTTTGGCAGACTGTAAAAAGATAGCTCCTATTTCTTGTTAAATCGATTTGTACAGTAGATTGCACGACAGCTCTTTCCCATCGCCACTCAGTGAGTGTGAGCACAGTGACTTCCGCCTGCTGTGATGTCATACGCATACCCTTAGCAGTAAGGGGAGCGTAGGACATCATCAGATAAGAGGGTGATGATCTGGAAGTATTCTACGGTTTTAACAGCAACTAGTAGCTGAGAGGTTCGAGTAGTGTCAAGTGGAAAATCCCACCAAACAAAGCGCACACAATTGTGTGAGACAACGCAAGAAATCTGAAAAAAGCAGTGGATGGTTTGGGGGTCGCTGGCTGGGGCTGTTTTGCACACTCACTACAACTTGTGATACTCGGGGGGCTGCTATTGCAGCGAAGTGTAAGTGAGGATGTTGCCAGTGGGAGAAACATTGTGGTGCATTTTAAGCATCCGCCACTTGCGAATCCTCGCTTGGAAGATATTCAAACTGAACTGCAAATGCCTCAAAAACGCTTAAAACAAGACGTACAAATGAGGTAGGACAGTAGGTTATGTATGTTTCTAGTAGCCTAATTAAAGTTTTCCTGGCATACATTTTTTCCATCTGTATTTACTAGCTTAAAATATGAATTATATAAAGTATAAACATACTATATATATTTATTATATCAAAATATTAAAGTAAAAAGAGCTCTTATATCGGAATCTGTATCGGTATCAGCAGTTGTGTACCGGAATCGGATCGAAACTGAAAAAATGTGAATCAGCCCCTCCCTACGAGGGAGGCATGCAATCGCCATGACAACGGATGGACAGAGGCTGGGGCTACGGCAGGAATAATACCAGTGACACATAATTACATACCCCTTACATTACTCACAAGGTGACTTTCCAACAAAACGTTACCCATTTACACAGCAGCATTGTCCATTCAAGGACAAAAAAAAAATCCAAATAAAATCCCACCAAGTGCAAAACCACAAATTTCCGCAGGATCTTCATTGCGAAATGCGCATCAGCATCATCGCCTTCACACCTCGCAGGGCACAAGGCGCCAAGCATCATGGGACAGTTCTGTCAGGGTGTCCACGGGCTGTTAGAGCCGACGCACTCGGGCCCTCAAATCGGGGTCTCGACTGGCCGCACAAACACAGACGCTCTGAGGACGGCGGTCTGCGCGCTCCACACCCACGCAGGGCCACGCTACGGGCTCGTCGTCTGCTGGCTGAACAAACGTGTCCATTCAAAAATCCCGTGGTGCGGGCACGCCCCAGCACTGAGCACGTCCGGCTCCATTCAGCAGCCCCCCCCCCCCCACACCCCCACCTGCCATACCCTCGGACCACCGGGCTTGGTTCGGCGAGGAGTGCCCCCAGGGTGTACGTTTGCACATGGCGAGCATCACACACATGCAACAGCTGCTGCGATCGCCATGCAGATCAGCGCACTGTGAAAGCTTTGTGACCAGACCGGTTACGTACTTCCGGTTACTCTCTCGAAGTTGCGTATTTATCATGGTAGCACAAGGCCTGAGAAGACGGATGATGCTACATGAAGTGCTGTGCAGCTCCACGAAGCCCCGTAAGGTCTGTAAAAACCCATGAAGACTTTTGAAACCTCTTAAAGCTCTATGAAGTTCTTTCAGACATAAGTGAAGAGAACTTCCATAAAAGCTGCTTGAAGCTCTTGGAAGCTCTGGAAGACCAACTGAAGCTAGATGAAGCTCCATAAGGCCCCTCAAAGCTCTCTGAAATCTCCACAATGCCACCTGAAGCTCTTCAAAATCCACTGAAGCTCTCTGAAGCTTCATAAAGTGCCATGAGCTCACTCAAGCTCCGTAAGGCTCCCTGAAGCTCTTTGAAGTGCCAAAAAAGTGCCCTGAAACAGTGCATACCCTACGAAACTCCGTGAAGCAGTACACACGCTCTAAATGTCAACTGGGCTGCAATAAGCCACCACCGGAAGATGGGACAGCGCAGGGCACAGCCCTTGAAGAGAGAGTGTTGGCCCGTGGAAATAACGCGGCCTGCAGCACAAAGAGATGTGGCATTTCTGCGGGTGAGTGTCAGCGGCCCGAGAGCCAAAGCCTCCATTGTTGCGCAGTGAATAGGCCCTCTCACGTACGCGACAGTCGTCTGAGGCTCTGTCACGACTGTCAGAGGCACTGATGACGAAGCAGATAAACTGTGCAGAGACCCAACTCAAAGGGCCCTTTGTTGCCCGACTTGCCATATCAATACTAAATATCGAGCCTGTCCCAAACTCCAATACAGATCCTGAACAACAGAAACTGCTGATGCACACTCATTACCATGACATCATGTAATATTACCACCAACTACGAGGATGCAGGACCCTCTACTTCCTCCGGTCGATCGCAGCCAAAGTTGCAACGATGGTGTCTGTGTCAAGGACAACAGGAAGTGGACAAAGCATGCTGGGTAAACTGCTAAAAATGACCATCGTTCTCATCTAATCGCCTCTGACTCCAAGGCTGCAAAATAAAGAACGAAGAGAAGAACTCTGCCGGGTTCTGGAATCGATATCAGCTGGGTTTCAAACGGATCCTGCAGACGCAGGTCGAGCCTGGTCCTCCGACACTAAGCGACCCACGTGGGGGTGGACACACGCTGATCTTAAGATCCATTAGGGGCCAGCGGGGGCGGAACCAGCTGTGGGAGAAGTGGGGAATTAAAACAGTCAACAAGAAAAGGCTTTTCTCCTGTGAGACTGGCACTTGGGTAGTTCCTGCTCAGTGTCTGCAGCCATTTTTCCACCTCATCTCCAGAAACACAAGTAGAAAAAGAGAACCCCGAATTGTGCTCAGGAACTTTTCCCCCCCAGTAGCAGGAATTCGGTCCGGCCACAAGCGCTCAGGTGGGCTCCGGTCACCCATCCGGGCCTGACACCAAGTACGCACCAATAATTAAAAAATAAATAAATAAATAAAAAATCGCTGAGCAGGATGCCCCCCACCCTCCACCTCCGCCGAGTCATGAGTGTAGACGGCAAAAACATCCGGAGGGAGAGAGAAATGAGACCGCCGGCCATTTCAAAACTCCTAAAATACACCCGAAGTGAAAACACGGCAGACCGGGGTGACGCAGGACAGCCTCGGAAACCACAGCGTTGGGCAAGCGGCTGAAAATAACGGCAGAAAAGCAGCCGGGGAAGGAGAGATGTGGCGCTCACTAACTCGCTCGCCAAGGCAGGGATGCACTCGCCTCTTATCTCAATGCACATCCACACCAGGGCAGAACCTGATAAGCTTCCGGAAATGAAGAGCCTTGCCGAGTCTAAGCAATACCAGTCAGGACCAATTTCAGATTTGAGACCAGACCTCCGATACCAGCAGGCACGGTAACAGGTGCACTGCAGCCCCATCGGTCATCGCCACCAGTGTCGAGCTACTGGCACTGTGTGACTTGCAATATAAAAGCTGCTACATGAAAAGCATGAAGGTGTCCACCTTGCTCCATAAGGAGGACTCCTCATGGCCCAAGACCACCTTAAACCGGCCAGTACTGACAGGAGTTCCGGGGCTGATTAAACCGCATGTCACTGCACACAATGAAAGACTTACACAAGAACGTCCTGAATGACGTCACTGACAAATTCAGTTCTTTTTTTCTTTTTGATCTGCGTCACAACATCATGGTTTTCTCCCCCACCAATACAGGCTTATTTAGAATGGGGGCGGGGCATGTATATCCAGCCCAGTTTAGCATGATTTATCCAGACTCAGCCAGGTTCATCTAGACAGAGGGGGAACAGAATAATCCGAGGCACAGGGGTGGTTAACCACTGAGCCTAGTTAGCCTCGTCATCTTGGTTAATGTGGTTAATATGAAGAACTCACCAGAGATAGATAGTTCAGGTCCAGAAAGTAAAAATCCAGACCAAGGTTTTGTTTCAATCAGCCAGCTGAGTATAAAGAGTCACAGTCACAGAGGATGACTGACCTTAAAACAGGTATTATTAACACACGTGGGCCACCAGCCCTGTTGGTTAAGACCTACCCACCAGCCCTGTTGGTTAAGACCTACCCACCAGCCATTTTATTTGCCATTAGCACAAATGCGAGTCATCTATCCACCACCCCCAGGAGGTGGGTAAGGGCCTTCGGCCCCAACGAAGACGTGAGTATTCTGCCAAAGATGGGTTCTGATCCGGTGACCTTCCAGTCGCAGGCAAAGAGATCTAACCCCCCACCCCACCCCAGATGACTGTGGCCCAAATTCCTAACAGTGAAGATCAAACTATAAGAACAATTACCAAAGTCATTGCTGCCCGATATAATCATGGGAGAGGGATAGTGGATACGATGATGTCAGACTACATCATAAATTAACAGTCCCTATCCAGTCACATGCCAGGGCATCCAGAGTGATGAGCTCACTCGCCCATTCCAACCAGGGGCCAGCTAAACCTGGTACACGTGGTTCATGCCAGCCAATGCCAGCTACGGGTCCACACCATAATCAGAACCTTTAAAAAAAACAAAAAAAAAAACACAATCTCCAACAGCAATATGGAACCCAACCCAGATTATGGAGGCCATAGACGAGGGAGCGTGGCCAAACCCACTGAGCATCTGTTACCATAGTTACCATGTCATAGCTACCATCCACCTTCATGGTGACTGAATAGCACTGTAGCCTCAGACTTGCTGGACCAAGAGCTTCAATGCCAACCCCAGTTCAGTGTGTGTGCCATCTTCTGCAGGTTCTCAAGTTTCCTCCAACAATTCAACCGACTGGTATGTATTAATTGCTCAAGGTGTACAAAAGATGGAAAGGTATCCAGTCCAGAGTGTACCCCAACCCTGTGGAACCTAATATAGGCTCCAGGCCCCCAGCAACCCTGACCGGGTTGGAAGATGGATGCAGAACCAAACAGTAAGAAGCTGACGCAAAATACAGAGGGTCCTCGATATATGTCATGTCGATGTCGCATACATGTCGTCGATTTAGGGGATTAGGGACAGTAAACCTGATATACATAGAATATATCTGCACTCAGGTGATTTTTACAAATTGAAAACCCCTTAATAGAACTCACAGGCTGGAAAATACAATCCGCACTGTACTCGTATTATTAATGTTAGTGTTGGCTGGGTAAGGTCGAGCCATATAAATGACTATAATTATAAATAGATTATATTGCTTAAACCTCAGAACCAAGTAAGCCAGATTGCAACAGGAATAATTAAAAATATTATTTTATGTTTTATTAGTAATTTCACAGTACATTTTATATTTATTATTTAGCAATTACAATAAATTATATTGTTATAACAGTTTTGTGAACTATAAAAAAAGTATTTCCTATTCATACGCCTATAAACTTCCATATAAATTAGATTATTTTTTTTTTATCTGGAAGATGCCTTAAATAGGGCGACATGGTGGTGCAGTGGTTAGCACTGTTGCCTCACACCTCTGGGACCCGGGTTCGAGTCTCCACCTGGGTTACATGTGTGTGGAGTTTGCATGTTCTCCCCGTGTCGTCGTGGGGTTTCCTCCGGGTACTCTGGTTTCCCCCCACAGTCCAAAGATATGCTGAGGCTAATTGGAGTTACTAAATTGCCCATAGGTGTGCATGTGAGTGAATGGTGTGTGAGTGTGCCCTGTGATGGGCTGGCCCCCTGTCCAGGGTTGTTGCCTGCCTCGTGCCCGTTGCTTCCGGGATAGGCTCCGGACCCCCCGCGACCTAATAGGATAAAGCGGGTTGGAAAATGAATGAATGAATGAATGAATGAATGCCTTAAATATAATACATTAGTTCAATGTTTTCAGAAACATAACTACGATGTTTATCGAAGAACCCCTGCAATTAAACTGTAGGAGTGAATAAACAAGGAAATTAAGAACTGTGGGACCCCCAAGCCGTAAAGAAAACCTGGCAAGAGTTTCTGGAGTCCGAGACTGATAGCTTGGCATCTGGCTGCTGTGTGTCAACGGTGCAGTTTTCCCTGTGATACTGGATCAACACAGACTCAGAGAGGGGAGGAAAAAAAAACATGGGGGACACAACAAAAGCAAGACGCTGCACGACGGAGAGGGACATTGGCAGCCGTCAAGGCCCCTTCCACGCTCACTCGCCCCCTGGATGAGCTCACTCTCAGGGCAGGCTGACACACGGCCCTCGATTTCACCGGAATGCGGTGCCGACACATGCTGCCCAGGCGGAACCCTGGCATGCGGCCACGCGGCCTCTAGCGAGTCGCTATCCTGCCATTCGGCCGCCGTGCTGCTCCCAAACTTCCGGGCCTGAGTCTCTCTCACTCCCCACCAGCTACCCAGCCGAGAAGTCAATCATCATACCAGACTCTGTAAAGTCTCTACCCTCTCGACTGACCCGCTTTCAGTTCCTGGGGTACTTCAGCGAAGACTTTTTTCCACTAAGACCGGTTCATAAACATTTCCATACAGTTATAAGATTAATCATTTTATAACTGCATAACTTCATGCGTGCTCTGCTGGCCTGTTTGCAACTGAGGGGCCAGGCCAAGAGGCTTAACTCAGAAGGAGGGTCTCGTCTAACAGAACCTTGCTCACATCTCAGAACCCACCAACTCCAAGACAGATCACGTAACTGGTATTAAAACCAGCTCTTGATTTTATTAGCTAAGACTTTACAAACCCGCAAAAAAGATGCACCTTAAAAAATAACAGCACAAAATAGCGATGCTTTATTAAATCCCCATGGAGAAATAGCCTTTCCCTTGCCCATGTTGTTCTTCATGTGGCACACGGACATAGACGGGATCATTAAATTCAGTGACTTAAACCAGATTGTACACACAAAAATCATTGAGCAAAATAGGTCATTTGTCACATACTGCTGGAGTCTAGCACCTTTAATCCAGAGTGATGCAATCTGCCAGGAAGCAGTCAGTTCGGTTTGACGCTTACCATCTTCCTCGTGTTTCTGTGTGCATTTCAAAAGGCAAGACATTGTGGAGTGGCACAAGCACACTCCTTCAGACAATATCTTTAAATTTGTGTCTCGGGGATCAATGGTGGCACCCAAACTCCTACTGCTTAACAGAGGTCGACCTTTGGAATCTCAGGAAAGCTAGTCCTCAAATAGTCTGGATCCATACATCTTGCATTAGATATTATATATGGTCTGACGGCATGTGCTCCGCAATGGATTGGCATTCCAGCCCCTACTCTGTAATTCCTGGGAACGGCTCCAGGCTCACCACGACCCTGTCCTGGACAGAACCAGGCTGATGGCTGACATCTGTCGGGAAAAAGCCCACACAATCGGTGTCATTACCACCACTACTGTACAAGTGAGCGGCCCAGTAAAAGGGCCCAGAAGCAAGAGTGGGTCAGAAGTGGGGATGCAGCCCGCAAGCCATCTTGGCACCATGTGGGGTTACGGCAGGATGAGTCATAAAGACACACCCGCACTACTCTCAGCATCGAGCAAACGCCAAGAGGAAGTCAGAAATGGGCCAAGCACCGAGGGAGCCGCGCTAACATCACACGCTAAACTTTTCAAAGGGCCGGATAAGGAAATGTATCCCGTTCAAAGCGCTGGGGCCTGGGGTAGCTCTCCCACCTGAGCTCGGGTGACATGTGAAAACAGGGATCTGCATCCCCCCCCAGGGTCGGAACGGGCTGGTCTGCTCTGGACTGGAGAGGCCTTAGTCAAGAAGGAGCCACCCAATCCCCAGTGAATCACCTCCTCCATACCGTAGTGAGCCAAAAGGCCTCACAGAATCGGCAAAACTCGCGCACACCCGTGAGCCAGCTCCCTCAACCTCGGTCTGTCCTCCCTCACCCACAGCCAACTGGGCCGTAATGGCACAGCTGGCGGAGAACATTGGGCAAAACTACGTCGCACGTTGGATTTCTTAATATATACGTGTGCCAAGGACCATCGACATTGACACGAAGCAGTAATTACATTCCGAAGGGATAAATCGAGCCTTGACTCCCTGAAGGCGATAGCTGTAAAGATAGCTCTGGGAAGCCTAACCTGGCTGCAGATCCGGACACAAGCCAACGATCTCAATTTGCCCACGTGAATTCAGTGAGAATCTACGTGCCATCACTAGAAGCCAGGAACATTCCTCATGCTACCACTCAGGAGAATCACCGAGACATGAGAAAGGCCACAGAGGGTCCACACGGCGCTCGCCACCCCAGTGGAATGTGTGCGTGTCGTGGAAGAGGTGCCAACTCAGTACAAAAGGCAACAAGGGAATCATGGGTAAGCAACCCCATACTGAAGGCACACAACAAAACAATATGACCTGATAAAAATACATGCAAAGTGCTAAGACTACTCAACACTCCCAGGGTTGAGCTGGAGGTCTTGGACTATGTGGTGCCATAATTGTGTTGGCTGACCTTAGGACTCTAGAGACAACCCTGTCTGTGGACTGTGTCCCACCCAATGCTGACTTCTGGTTCCACTTTCCCCACTGAAACCCAATACCAAGGTTTGCATTGAACCGTGAATGTTGTGTATCGGTACACCCCTATCATTTCGCCCAGAAAGGGATCCCCGCGTGGCGCAGACACGGGGCAGCTTCATCAGAGTCTTAACAAAGTTCTCCGTTTAACAGAGATGGTGATTTATTGGGAAATGAACAATGGCAAAACCGACCAGAGTACATCGGGACTTTGTCACCGAAGCAACGTGTGAAGGCAGCCATTCTGATTTCCACATCCCCGCTTGTGCCACAAAGAGCATTCCCATACCCTCCCACGCCGTAGCAAGCCGCTAAGCTGTACAGGGCTCCACAGTTTCAAGGCAACCTTCTCCAACAACCTTCTCAAGTGCCCCTTTTTTCCACCACTTCCGTTTCCCCTTCCTCCTCATCCATCACCCTCCTTTGTCTTCCAAGTGCAGACAAGAACCGGAGTCTGATGACCCAAGCCTGCCCGGCAAGCTTTCTTATTTTTAGAAACCTGTGGTATCCTGCGGTCCTGCCACCTATCGCTGAACAGATCAGTCAGCCAATTCTTCTTCTCTCCCCCCCCCCCCCCCCTTTTAAAAACGGCATTTTCTGGCCACAGTAAAGGTTACAGCAAAGTTCAACTGGAGGCGGCTGATTCGCCAACTTTCTGCTTGCCATTGTTCTGTGACAAGCAGCGAAACCGGGATGGCTGGCATCCGACGGCGCGGCGGGTGCCGAGAGTGGTCGTTAAATGGATGGCCCTCGCACCGCCCAATGTCGAGGATTCATTTTTGAGCAAGGGGCGAAAGGAATGAGATAAACTGAATCACAGACAAGTTATTTCAGCCAGGGGAACCCTGCAAGGGCTACAGTGATTCAAATGGATGGTTAAACACGTAGTTACCAGTTAAAGATTTTCATGTATCATAAGAGATTCCAAAGCATCTGGTCAGGTTTACATTATTGCGTTAATTTTCATTTGGAATAAAGGTGAACTACACATGCATTACATGCAAAGCCCACCATATTAACTGCAGTGTCATTTCATCTATCCATCTGTGACAGAAAAAAATGGCTCATCATAATATTTTTTTAATATTATTTATAGATTTATAAGGCTAAAGAAAACTCCTGGCGTAAGGGGATTTCATTGTGTTTTTTAGATAATTATCGAGCCATTTAAGTGTCCGCAAAATTAGCGTGATCATTACGCATGTTACGTTCAGACTGACAGAAGGCCCCCGGCTGGCATAAACTGAACTATTTTTTGGAGGAAAAAAAGAACAAAGTCATCAGATAAATATGCGAGGCATGTATGTGAAGAGGGAACGTGCAGCGGTGGGTCAGAATAAACCATAATTCCAATACCCTGATCTCCCAGAGCCACAAAGCAGGGACCTTGTAAAAAATGAGAAGACGGACTACAGAGTGGTATGAATGTGGCTTCACTGTGGCGACCTTTGAAGATGACTGCGCAGGGGGTATGTCAAGCCAGATTAAAAATAATCAAAGTTTCTATGACCAGAATCCCTCAGGGCTACTAAGGGGATACCACTAGTGACTCACAAAGTACATGTGCTGCATGTTTTTTTTATGACTTTGTGGGGGCTACACGGTGTCTGCATCAAAAGGTCTGACCTCCAGTTCCTTGATCTTCTCATCGGCTTCTCCATCAGCTGCCCGTTGATATCACCTTTAGACTGCAGTATAAACCTGACGGGAGG